GTAAGGAGATTGCCCAGCTTCCACTGCCATTTAGGAGAACTCATGTTACGTAACGGTTCAGTACTTCTGTTTTTTTTTTTTTTTTGTTTCTAACGAATTTTTCTGCTTTCATAATACTCTACTTATCTTTTGGAAGTCATCTTTCAGTATCCCAATGCAACTTCGGATTTCAGTGTCGCATTTTCCGTCCTCTGTAGAAACTCTTCCTTAGTATTTAAATTGTTATCCTTGTTTGATTCTGTTACCTGCAATTTGTATTTTTAGTCTGTTCCTTCTACTTATATCTATGTATTTTGTCTTCTTGCAATTTATGTTTAATCATTTCACATCACTTTTCTTTACTACATTCTAAAGGAATTCTTATCCCTTTCTTTCTTAGACAGACAATATAAATGAAATTGACATTGTCGTATTACCTAAGAAATTCATGAAGACAGTGCAATGAAGGCCCCGGCTGTTTTGAACTAGCCACGCCAATTGACCGTGTCTTTCTTATAACACTCGTGGTGTGGTCTCTTTCTCAATCAATAAATTACACAACCTCAACAAAAAAGCATAAACGCGGATGATATATATTTTTGATAGCCTGGGTAAATAAATATAAAATAATATCTAATGGAATGTTTATGTTTACTTTGTAATTATTCCGTATTATATCTAATTAAAATATAATTATATATGAAACGGATATCTGTTTTCAATTTCACCGATACAAAAGTCATTTTAATTAGATACGTGTGCAAACAGTGCAGTTTGTGTTGAAACGAACCATGAAGATAGTTATCACTAAGAACTAAAGTAAGAATTAAAAAGACTAATTTTGCTGAATACCAGGATCTATGACAGAATAAAACTATGATTTTGTCTGATAATAAAATTCAAATTTAAATGGTTGTATTTTTACGATTATTAAGATTTTAATCTCGATATCAGGCAACTTCCTAATTATACAATTTAAATTATAATGTTTTTCAATTAAAAATAAATCATTATTAGTTAAATGTTTTCCTTTAGATATACAGAGTTTTCTGAGAAGTCACTTCGTGATTAAAAAATCTATCAATTTCAACTCTATTTTTATTATTTAATATTCATTATTATTATACAGAATGAAAATTCAAACACTGGAAATGTATTTAATCATGAACAGAATTTAACATATTGTTGCTGAATTGTCTGTAGTGTATTGACATATAGACCCGCCTTAAGGTATCTCCCCAAAGAAGAGTATCAGGCATGAAGGAAGTGGCGGACATAAAATTTCGATCTATATTTCTGAGATGAGGTATTATATACACTATTTACATTATTCGGACTATTGTCCTCATCTTTGTCGCCATGTTTATCACAAAGTTTTGACCGTTGTACACTCCGGCCTCCTTCAAGTGGTTGGAATGTCAAACTGAACCCTTTATTTCACTCAATGGCGTAGACTCTTCTAGTTTTCACGTGTCATAGATGTCAGTTATCTCCTGTTAATTCGCCTCTGAAAGTTGTCCACTGCCTTAACTAACGGCTTTGCCATGTGTCTTCAAGGACACATGGCAAAGACGTTAGTTGGATCCAGTGACAGGACCCAGTGTGAGATCAATACGTGGTTAAGGCAGTAGAGAACTTTCAGAGGGGAATTATCAGAAGATAACTGACATCTATTTGACATGGCACGTGGAACTAGAACAGTCTACGCCAGTGAGCGAAATAAAGGGTTCAGTCCGACATTCCAACCACCTGAAGAAGGCCGGAGCGTACAACGGCCGAAACGTTGTGTAAACATGGCGAAAAAGATGAGGACAGCAGTCCGAATAATGTAAATATTGTATAAATTTAGGAATTTCACAAAATTATCCGATAGAAAGTTAAGTTAAATCCACAAATAAATTCCAAAATTTTTGTACTTAAGTCATTTGTGAATTTTTTCAGGGATAATTTTCCTATTTTAACGTAAGTTTAAAAAAAAATAACAAAGAAAACAAATAGAAATGTGACAAATATAACAGGTTATGTCATTTCTAAATACCCAGTGTATAAAATATTTAGAAATAAGAGTAAAAGCGAAAGTAACACATTAGTATCTATTTCATGCAACGATTAGAAAGCTTTTCCTTCTGTTCACGGTTTTAGTAGTTTTCTAGACTTAGCTTAGATGTGTCACAAGGCAAAAAGTATGGAGGAATGAACTCACTGTAGAGAGAACAGGTGTCTTTTCAGGAGCACATTTCCGAAAGATAGTTACTGTGATACCATCATGTCCACATACTTTGTAGCAATTCTGCTTAGAGACGAGAGCAGAAAGCACTATATGCATATCACAGACTAGAGAGTCATCTCTAAGTTGAAAGTTAGGCAAAGATACTTCAGATGAGTCAAAAGTATAAGGAAAAGTGAATATATGAGAAAAGATCTTTGCGCTTTCTCAGCAGAATATAACACCTAAAACTGTGTAAAGATACAAAAGATAGAAGACTGAATCATAAGATAATGCCGATGATGCTGATAATGATATTCTATTCAGTTAATTGTCTTGTGTAATTATAAATAAAATTTCCCCCCAATCAAGGCAGTAAAACCATTAAGATGCATGAGTTGTGGATGAATTGTGTGAATGAATAAATAAACAACGCCTGTAATTGAGATAGAAAAATAAGTGTATTAAACGTAAGAATACAGACTTGAAGTGAAGATTAGTAGTCCAGGAATGCGGGTTAGTAGAAAGTATATGTACAAGTCTCTGTAAGTAAAGCCGTAATCATCTCTCTCTCTGGACTCTCGTATAACTCTGAGAACACCCCGTGTCTGTCTCCGTATCTCTCAACCTGTCTCCACGTATCTCAACGTATCTCCACGTATCTCAACGTATCTCAGTATTTAATATCCCACCCACGATGAATATATGTGACAAAAGGCCGAGTTAAAAGTGGGTTTCTCCGAGTCCGTAGGCTCGGCCAAAAATATTCCCTTTGAACCCGCCTAGACGGGTTCAGGGCCTGTGTACCTCCCCGGACGAAACCTTGCCCTTCGGCAAAGCTTCGTCCGGTTTCCTCTCTGCCAAAGCAGAGAGTTCGACAGACGTCGAGACTGTATAGCGACGTATCTCAACCGCAGGTATTCTCTCTGTCAGTATAAGTATACTTTGGACGAGTCCATCTTATGTAAAAAGGGGAAAGTCCCACAACAAATTGGAAGGTGAATCATCCTGAACGGGAAGAGGAAAGAGTAAATGCGATTACAAGTAGACAACGATTGACATTGCATGTACATTTTTAAAAATAAAAATGGGCTGGAAATCATGGAGCCCGATGGGAGTTCCATAAGCGAGAATTGCGAGAAAAGAAACTGTTAGAATAGAATCTCCGGCTACATCTAGCTAGCGCAACTGTAAATTGTTGAGATCTCGACGTTAGTGTAGTACTGCACTTAAATTCAAAATGACTCGGTACCACAGTGAAGAGGTCATCCGAAAAAATTCATGAAAGTATTTATAGAAAAGACACGTGAGAAAGTGACTGAATCCGAGTCGCCAGACCAAGACCGATAATATTGCTGATTATTATTGAAACTTTATCAAGAAACCCAAGTTAAATAGCAGGGAAACCGGACCTTGTGTGGCAGCGACATTCTATAGACTTATATAAGTTAAATTCTGGAGAGAAAAATTGTCAAGCATGACACAGTGAACCAACATCTGAATGCAGAAGGTATACTTTCAGAAATAATTATATTTCTAGCAGTATTCCTTGTATGCGAATTAGATAATGTGAGCAAGAACTTGACAGAATGCTTATTGAAAATATATTTATCAATATCCATTCTCTTTTTTCAGGACATTATTACTATTGATTAAAAGTGAATATCTTATTTCATACGTATATAAGTTGAATAACTGATGCATAAATATGAACATCAATGCTCAAAAACTGTCACCCACAGGCACAGAATGTCCTGTCTAGAAGTTGCGTATTGTCAGCACACGAATGATCGAACAACCATAAGAGTTTCAAAAGACATGCTGTTTGAAACATTGTTTCATGAAATAATTCTAACTCAGTTAACACGTGAAGCCTTTCCTCGTAGTAGTATACTCTTCCTTTATCTGCCATGTTCGTTATGAAGGTGAAAGATCATGGCGTACCACAACTTGTAGCTTGTGCTACTCTAAATTACGTTTGTAATTTTGACACCATTCTTTGTAGCCCCTATCAATAAATATTACGTATTATTCTCATATAATATGCTTGTGCACAGACATAAAACTATCCAATCTATCCAAGGTAAATCTTGTTTATTTATATATATATATCTCGGTGCTCTCACGTTTGTAGATATCAAAATTTAATGTTCATAATTCTAACGTATGGAAGTTTAAGTGCAAAATGATTAACACATACTTCAAATTTATCTCAATTTTTCTTTGCAATTAGAAACTTAATTTTCGGCCTGAAGTGTAAGGTTAATTTCATGTTAATTCATTTCCGCCTTTCTAGTGTATGTTCAGTTTCTCTTTTTGTCATTATTTGGTCTCCGGATCAATCAAGGCCAAGGTAGGTTTAAAATTTAGATTTTCCCTCCGAGGTTCCGACGAAAAAAGCCCAATCTTTTTGACGAAAGAAAATTATTTTTCTTTTACTTTTCCGCTTACTTAATTCAAATGATAGATTGTAGTTTTTCAGTGGAGATAAAAGAAAAAAAATCCATTTATTTGTAAGAACGTGATTAAAAGTAATTAATATATTTTAGGTAATGCTATTTAGAATCAGTTCTGCAAACCTTCTAAATTGTAAAAGTTCATTCCTTTGATTTCTTTCACAAAACATTCGTTTCATACGTCAACGTTCACCAATCTGAGGATGAAACTAACTATGAAGAATATGAAGGGAGTTAATAAATATTTGATTTAGAATCAATAGATCACAACTTTTTTTTTTGTACAATATAAAGTTGGGTCATTTATCATATTATAAAACGCCTCTTTCTTTTTTTTTTATTTTTTCTTCATTTCATTC